CAAATCAAATCAAATCAAATCAAATTTTGCTGTGGTAGTAGCTGAGAGTGGTTCATAACATGGTGCATGGCAGCCACTCCAGGGCAGCTGTGGCTACAGTGTAGCTTACCACCATCAATGTGAATGAATGGGTGAATGGTTGAAGTGCTTTGGAGTCCATAGACCATTTTAGCATAACATACTCCAAATATGACATCTTGTGCACGACAGTAAACATTTAAACAACTTTATTTTCAAGGTTTAACTAAAACTGATGCAACTCTGTCATTTCTAAACATACAATTATACAATTATCTTTATTTGTAATTCTTGCATGTGAGGAGTAATCTTTAATATAATCCATCATCATAAAATGTTGACAGAACTTCTTATTCCTTAACTTCACGAGAGCTAAACACATCTTCAATTTTATAGTCGATTAACTTAAGAGTTTAAATTTGGACATTTTTTCACTTAATATCAGCAAGCTGCACAGCCTCCCTCACCTCTACCACCTTCACTTAAGGAAACGGCAAAAAAATAAAAACCACCTTTCAGCAGTAAAAGTAAATATCCTCTGCTGACCTCCCTGGGTTGACCTCAGAGAGGCTGACCTCATTGTTAAATGTTTTTACTGTAACCGTGCAACCCTGGGGGATGATACTCGAGCCTAGCAAACATTTTAGACGATGACTTAACACTTTCCAAACACTTGCTCAGTATATTGGGCCCCTGAGGCACTGTCATAATCCGAAAACTATTTCAGCCTGATAAAAAAAGGCCAAAATAAACATTTAGCTTCAGAAGTTGCCACGGCCAAGAGCACACATGGCGTAAGGAAGCCAGGCAAGATGCCAAGCGTGTGCCCTTTGTCTTCCAGTTTGCTCAATGATGCTCGGATTGTAGTCTTCCTCTCTGAGCCCACTCATTACCTGGACTTTCTGTTTTCTATTTTCCAATGCAGAATTCTCTGAAGATGATATCCAGGATCTCCTCGGCCCCGACCCGACCGGTGATCCTGCCCAGGCTGGTGAGAGCCAAGCGGACCCCCTCCGCTGCCAGAGCGAGGTCAAAGTCTCTGTACCGCTGGTACTGACCCAGAGCTGCCACACACTGCTGCAGGTGGGCCCTGTGGCGAGACTGGGTGAGGGTGGGGGCACCAGACAGGGGGTCACCACACCTACAGAGGGTGTAAAGAGAAGCAGAGCAACAAAACACTTTAACATTTTATGGCTTACTTTGTAGAGCCRACCAAGAACAGCAAAGTTAACAGTTATATTCCTCTGTTGGTAATTTAGTATGTTTCAAATGAACCTGCAAGTACTACGGTACTGTGTAAAAGTTTACACATTTCTCCATAATTTACCACCAAGTTTCTGTACTTCTACGATACTACACTTGTTTTTGATCCTGCTAACTGAAAACTCACAGCGTTTGAACACTGCTTCTCAGCACAGTGAGGAAGTCCTTCAGTCCCTCGCTGGTCTGACAGGAGATGGGACACGCAGCAGGAAGTCCAGAGACCCGTCTCAGCTCCTGCTTCAGCTTCTCTGTTTGAGCCTCAGGCAGCAGATCAGTCTTATTCAGCACCAGGAGACACTTATCTGCACAGTGGTATGAGGTAAAAAAACAAACAAACCATAAAACAGATTCTTTCTGAGGACTAAAACTCATTATCAAAGGACAACTTTATTGGAACTTTGGCAATTTCGTGCATTATTTATTCCACTTTTAAAGTTCTGCTGAGTCACTGCGAGGTCATGAAATTATTGTCCTGTATTTATTGAACATTTATAATATATAAAAAAAAACATTTCATTTGAACTATTACTAAGGAGATTAAAAAAACTCATAAGAATCGTATCGTATCTTAACTAGCAAGGCCTACCCATGTGCCACCAGTTTTACTCCCTGCCTCTTTATAGCCTTTTCCAAACTGTCAGGAGCTTTGAATTTGCGTAGGAGGGAGTTAAAATGATTCAATAAAATGTCCCCTTTTCGATTGAAACCCCCTTTGACCAACTGGGTTGATCCATGGCATCTCTACAGCCAATAACATTCAGCAAGCTCCATGTGGCCATCAGCTCTGAGCTTTGTTCTGACATCACAGACGTGGAGCCAATCAGATTTTCAACACGAAGGTGGGAGCGGGTTTGAGGGTGCAAATAACTTTTTATATTATTAAACTTTAATACAGACTCAAGGTCCACAAAACAAAGACAGGAGAAGCAGATAATTTTTACATATTATATATATTTTTTCTAGTCGTTCTGCCATTTTCTGCTCCCCAGGACACCTAGTGGCGAGGCAAACCGCACATTAAAAAGAAAACAGTTTTTTTTATAGCATATCTTTTCACTAAAAACTGGAATTCCCTGCTTTAAAGGAGGAAATGTAATTGTTCCCAAGTGTTTTTAGTTCTTCAAGACAAAGAAGATTGATTTTTGTTACGAGGAAATCGTAGAAGAGAGGATTGTCACTGTGTCTTGGCCGCCATTTTGGATAATCTGGACTACACTTTTGGCCACAATTATTCTTCATCAAAAGAATACTGTATTGGCTGTGTTGGGTGTTGGCAGCCACAGATGTGATTCATATTCATATTTTATTCATGGTGGGAGTGGATCTGAATGGTAGAATATGATTCACGTAATTACCTTTTATTTGAGCCCTCAGTGAAGTCCGTGTTGAAACGTTACAGACTTTAGATGGTCTACAGTGAGTTTATTGGACACTTGTGGAAATATGAATGGGCATACTGTCTGATATTATGTGTAAAACATTCATTTTTATGCTATTGGTACCAAATTTGAACAGGTAAAGTTGGGAAAACATTAGCATTTTAAATACCGCCTCCTTTTGACAAATTCTGCTATTTCCTTGTGTTAGTTCAATTGTTCAAAAAAGGTATTTGTTGAAATAAACTGCAACATGTGTCTGGTTCATTATAATGTAATGTAATGTAATGTAATATAATATAATATAATAATACCCGTCTCAGGCTGTTTCAGCACAGTCTTCAGGTGGTCTGAGAGGAAACCTGCAACTTGTTGTACGTCAGACGGAAGACGTGTGGAGTCCACAACCAGCAGAGTCAGATCAGCCTGTTGAACCCTGGAGCCAGAGGRAAAAAAAAACAGGTTGTTTTATCCTGAAGCATATTGGTGAGTTTTTCTAATATTTCTGTTTCATCTTGTTTTGAGAAACCTTTACATCACAACTTATTTGACTCATTGTAGATAAATATGGGAAATAATGYAGTAAGAAGACACTTCACAACAGAAACTCATAAAGTCTCTACACTGCCTGGCCAAGGATGTGGCAGGATATTGTTGGACCACCTTTAATTTGTACTGTGTGTTCTCCGAGCCAGTGTTTTGATAAGCTTACGCAATATCGAAACATCCACTTCCATCCAGGTCTGCAACAGGTTTTCAGCCAAGATCTTGCAATGAGGATGGGAAAGGAAGCATGAAGTGTTCTCCAGCACATCCCAGTATTTCCCAAGGTCTGAACTGTGTTGTTCCAATACGAGTGTAAAATACTCACTTCCTGCTCTCTGAACTCCCTTTTTTCACAGTTTTAACACAATGAACCCTGGTTTTATCTGTGGAAAATGAAGCTGTTGATGTAAAACTGAATCAGTTTGTCATATAACTTTATTCAGAGTTAACTGGAACTGCACTGTACACATCTGATATTTTAGTACAGCAGGGCTATTCAACTAAATTGCTCCAGGGACAACATTTACTGCAGGCCAACAGCTAAAGGGCCGAACATCCATCAATTATAATCATTATGTGAATAAACCAGGTATCGGTTACCTTTGAAACAGTTTATAAAATTTTTATTTAATCATAAATACAACATACAGAATCCTATGTAATAAAAGTAGTGATAATAAAACATTATCAAAACTAAAAACAACACATTATCTCTCCTATTTAACACAAATATAATTTTGACATCTCTGGTTTTTTCAAAAGATTAAACCAATTTTATTTTCACTTTCATTGTTTTATCTTAAGCAGCTTGTAGTTTTAGTCTTGAGTGAGCATAGAAATGTTTTTTACCAGCTTCTAGCCAATGTTTCTGTAGACACCAAACATGTCTATGTTTAACTAAAAGAACTTACAGTAACTAAAGTAGAAAACCGGGGGTTTGGGCTTGAGATGAATGAAGCAATTGGCGGGCCGGACTCTGGTCGGGCTGCCAGTTGACTAGCYCTGTAGTACAGCGTGCAGCTAAATAAAGGCTGGATGAAAACCACTTGAAATCTTTCCGTCTCGCATCCATCTGAGTGTGAGGCGGCAGCAGGAGTAACATCAGCAGTAGCAGCAGCAGGAGTGAATTCTTGTTCATACCACATCCTTCCTGTAGTGACCCGGGTCACGAGCTTCGGTCCTGCTCCCCCCACACATGAGCTTCCTATAGAACACAAAGTGCCCACCCTTCCTATAGAGACATCTGATCACCCAAATAACTCAACAGTTTACACTCAAATCTGGAGATTTGTCATCAGGTCTTTATTTAGATTTGTTTAAAAATCTAATTAAATATTAAAACGTTATTTCAGTAATGTTCATTCTTCCTCCTGTTTGCATGTTTTTATATTATAAAACATCAWGTGTTTCAGCTATCAGTGAATCTCCACATGTCCAATACATCCAATTCGTCCAGCACATGGAGAAAAAAAAAAATCGCTTGAAAATAAAAATGCTACAAGAAGGAAAGGTGGCTCTCCGTTACGCAACCTCCTGAGTGTGTTTGTCCCATATATTTATAACCCTGTCTCAGCAGTAATATAAACGGCGGCAGCTACTCAGACATTACAAAAAAAGACTCATTTCTTCCTTTCTTTGTTGTCCAGAACATGCTTCATTTCAATAACTCCTTTCTGATGTTAATCAGAGGTGTCAACAGTATTTACATTCATTACTGAAGTAYACTCAAAAAACAGATGTAGTGGATTTAATTTTAAAAAATGTCAACTGTTTCCACTCAACTGAATTGAGCATAACGCATTTACTTTACGTTACATTTACTTAAAGTCAATGTAAAGTAAATGTGTTATCTTTACTCAGTTCAGTTGAGTGGAAACAGTTGACATAATTATTTTAATTAAATGTATTACCGTATTTTTCGGACTATAAGCCGCGACTTTTTTCCTGAACTTTGAACCATGCGGCTTATAGTCCGGTAAGGCTTATACATGGATTTTTTTTCTTCGGCCACCAGGGGGCTCTTATGCTGCATTTGCTTCAACCACTCGCTTCAAAATAAGAAAGGAAAAAAAAAAGAAAAAAGCGATCACTTCCAGAGCCGACTGTTGACCAGGAAGCAGCGATTTAAAGATAATCAATGGCCAAAAACTCATAAAAGGGGATAAAACAGACATTTTTACGGTGGAATCTGACTGATAAAAACTTTGGAGCTTAATCCAGGACCAGTTTGTGGATAAACGTCAAGTGAAGAGCTGCTGACTTTTTTTTCGGCATTGCACTCCTCGGGGAAGGAATCTCATGCAGTGACGTATGCTGGAGCGGGTGGGCTTTCCCACCACAGCTTCAGAGCCAGCATTACCCCGGGAGGACAGCGACACAGAAAGCAACACTGAACAGATACCGCTGTGTGACGCAGCTTTTCTCAGCTTGTTTAACTCCGACACTGAAGAGGACTTCGATGGTTTCAGTGCGCTGGAGGACGATGAATGAGACGTTTTGTTGGACCAGAAACTGTTAAAGAAAACTACCAAAATAAGGTCAGTTAAATGAACCGTATTCATCCGAACTTTAATTCCTAAAGGTTTGCTTTTTATGTTTTGATGTTGAATTCACTTTTTTGACGGCAAATTTGGGTGTACTTTTTTTTTATGTTGGGGGTGCGGCTTATAGTCCGGTGCGGCTTATAGTCCGAAAAATACGGTATATCTGTTTTTGTATGTAGAGGTATAGATACTAGGGTTTAAAAATACTATTGTAGAAGGTAATATATCAACTCATGTTTTTATACTCAAGTAAAAGTGTAAAAATCCATCTGTTTTCTTCCGCTTGTCCGGGGTCGGGTCGCGGGGCAGCAGCCTAAGCAGAGAGACCCAGACTCCCCTCTCCCCAGCCACTTGGGCCAGCTCGTCCGGGGGAATCCCAACGTGTTCCCAGGCCAGCCGAGAAATATAGACCCTCCAACGTGTCCTGGGTCTTCCTCTGGACCTCCTCCCAGTGGGACGTTGATGGAACACCTCACTAGGGAGGCGTCCAGGAGGCATCCTAACCAGATGCCCRAGCCACCTCAAYTGGCTCCTCTCGACGTGAAGGAGCAGCGACAGGCCATTAAGGATAAACGTTTAGGTTGCAGCACAGTGGGCTACAATGCACAACCCCACCTCCCCAAAAACGTTTTCCTAAAAGCCATAATGACTATAAAATATAATAAAATGTTAATGAAAAATTTGTGATGCATTAGGCTACGTGTTTCAGCTGCATACATGTGTTCCACGCTCAKCTGTCAGGATGGCATAAACTCATACTTATCCAACCGTAATCCAATTCACTCTAACCAGGAGGCATCATGTCTCTGGATAGAGATAGAGACAAAGTGACATAGTATACATGCTAAGTTATATGGATTGTCCATTTATACGGATTTACCCCCATTTTGCAGGTGTCGTTATCTCCACCCCACATATTGTCTTTCCAGATCCACTAGTCCCTCCCACTCCTCGGCATTGTATTGCTTAAGTAATGTGTTTGAAATATAAATAACTTCTTTAATTTTTAAAATGTAAGGAGTAGAAAGTACAGATAATTGCATGAAAATGTAAGAAATAGAAGTAAAAGTTTGGCTGAAAAAATAATTATTCTAGTAAACTATAAATAACCCAAACTTCTTCTGTAGTAAARCAATGAAGTATTTGTATTWTGTTACTTGACAACKCTGATGTTAATTGTGGGTWAAGTTCTTTAAAATGTTTGTTTTTCATGACTGAAAGCAAAAGTAGGTAGCTGGATCATATTGTTTTTCTTTTACTGTGAGTTTGTGTTTCCGACCTTTCTCGKGCTCGACGGACCCCTTCCTGCTCCACCAGGTCTGAGCTGTCCCTGAGGCCAGCTGTGTCGCTCAGGAGGACAGGGAAGCCCCCGATGTCGAGCGCCGTCTCCACTACGTCTCTGGTGGTTCCAGCGATGGGAGACACGATGGCTGCAGGTCTGTTGCCTTAATTACAAAAACAAAAATCTTTAATCTGGTAGCATTTAAAATCAGTTTATTATAAGAAGTTATGATAGTCATCAGAAGCTCTGTGAAAATTAAAAAAATGAATACCTGACATAATCAAGCAGCTGAATGATGCTGTTAAGTCAATATGAAGCTAAATCTCTGTTTCCAACACCTACTGAAAGTATTAACCTGTGACTAGTGAACTAGTGATAGGTTGATTATTTTAACATTTTTATTTGGGTGTAAAAGGCGAACAGGATGCCATCTGATTTAAAGTTAAAGTAGCAAAAAAGGACTGAAATTATCAGACACCAACATGTTGCCCACCACTAAAAATGGTCTTGAAATGAACACTGAGTAAATATTTCAAGCAAAGAACGGATTTTCAGTATAAAATAAATGAAATAAAACAAGTATTAGAATATTAAACAGCAAATTACTGAAGAAACAAGAATATACTGTATTTAATGTTCCATTAATTTAAAGCTTGTTTGAAAAACAGTAAAAACATTTAGTACATTTATTGTGTGAATGCTACTGAGCACAATTTTTTGTTATTTTAACAGCTCATGTATCAAAATGTTTAGTTTATTTATGCCCTGGGTGTGATGACTTTTGGTATTTGAGCAATTTATACTTTGTTTTGCTTAAGTTTTTCAGCTATTTTTTCTCATTGAAAATGAATAGATTTGTCTTTAACAGCCTTMAAACCCTTTAAAATCTTTACTATACTTTTTGCTTTTTGTTCTGGTTCGGCTTCTTTCAACGACTTATTTATTAATTTTTTGCTGATTTTAGTTTTTTCTGTTCCTTTCAGCTATTCTGGAATGAATTTAAGCCTTGTTAAGTTTCTATCAGCTTTTTTCTGATTAACTAAACTTTTTATGCTTTTTTTTAGCTGGTGTTTGTTCATTAGTACTTTGAAGCTATTTATTGGCTAATTTTTTAAAATCTAAATTTACATTTTTGCGAAAATTTCAGAATATTACTGCTTAATTCAGCAAATATTTTCTTTCTGAGTTTTTGTACTAATTTCAGCTTTTTCAGCTACTTTAGTTACTTTACAACAAATTGCAACTTTTTTGTAATCTTTTTGTTTTTCTGCCAATGTGAGCTTTTATACTCCCTGTTCACAATCTGTCTGCTAATTTCAACTTGTTTCTGCTCCTGTCTACTTTTGTTTTCCTACTTTCAGCAAAAGTCAGCTGTTCAAACTGAACTCACAAAAACAGTTTTGTTATTAAACATTTTCAGCTTCTTCAGCAGCTGTCAGGAAAAATCTTTCAGTATTAAGAAATTCACAATGCAATTTCCCAGGAAATGCAAATTCTCTAGTATTAACATGGCCTTCAACATGTATGAGTTTTACTTTTAAGCTGGGTTCATGCAGGTTTCAGTAAGTTAAATTTAAGACTTTTTAAAGACCTTTTAAGACCATTACGAATGAAATTTAAGACCAAACCGATACATTAACAAAATCATTCAAATGGTTTTAACATAAAATTTTAACATAAAAAACTTTTATTGCTATCATC